ATACCAAGTTAGAAAAACAGTGCTTCTTTTGATTTACCTCGTGATTGAAACTAACTGATCTGGCCCACGTGCGCACACTTTTCAAAAATTTCAAGTTGTCTATATTCTGAAATGGAACAAAGGTGAGTGTGATTGACTTTACTCTTTTTATTGCGACTCTTCTCTCACATTTTTACTCATTTGTTCACTGCTTTCCAACAGAAAAAGAGCTAGTGCAAGCCAAGATGGGAATGACAGTCAACGAGGCTCAAAACGTGGCAAGAATATCTCGGTAAGTCGGCCGTAACACAGCGCTTCGTTATGACGATTATAACTTATCAAGACTCTGCATCAATGGTAATATACAGTGCACGCAAGAGAAAGATGTTTGCCCCTGTCTTGGAAAAGATTACAGTGAATAATTTTTGTATTTTTTTTCCTCGAACAGGTCAGTGGATTGCGCAGCCTATATGGGAAAATAGCAACGTTTCCGAAGAAACAACATGCATTCGCGAGATGGATGGAGGGCGAGAGCTTTTCTGAAATCGCTAGAACTGCTGGAGTCGCGGAGGCAACAGCACAAGTTTACGTGATTGACATGATTGCCAGAGGCACAGACAAAAACGACTTGTTGGAAAAATTGATAAGAGAGCTGGAGATCGAAGACGAATCCCTAGAAAAAGTATATGACCTCCTGTGTAGGAGCGGTGTAACACTTAGGGAAATTAGGGATATCACCCTGCTAAGTTATAATCAAATTCGGGCAATCATTGCTCTTTTCATCAACGGATATGAGCTGTAAGCTGATGTAAACCCACGGGCAGGGGAATAAAGTAAATTTGAACTCATTAGGCACGAGAGATACGCCAGTGAAATGTTTGAGAGCGTTACGAGGTAAAAACATTCCCCAGTTATTTTTGATATTATCGTTTTTATAGTTCTGTTCTGTATCACTAAAGGCCATAACAAGAACTCAAGAGAAGATGGCAGTGTAATAAAAACATGATTACAGTAGTGGAAATGTGTTGTTGTAATCCCTAATGGGTAATTAAGGGGTCGGAGAGGGTGGGGCCTTATGGGGGTCACTCTTTAGAAAATCCCTCTTGTATAGCGTATGCAAAAGTACAAGCACTTTTGTTTTATTCCACCATTTAATTGAGCTTTCAAAAGAAAAAGAGAAATTGGCAAATGCTATTTCATTGCTAACTTAATCTTTCCACTTTAAAATTATATTTCCAATTATATTTCCCTGGTTAGCGGTTTCGATTTTGATCTACTGATGGAAATCAAAGCACCGTTTATGACATAAACTTTCTGCAAAATGAAGTACAGTATAGTTAAGTAAATCATACTCCAACTGCCTTCTGTTGCTGAAAACGCTTATAAGAATCAGCCCTGAGTATTTAGATCTACAAGCATTATCATTTCTCAACTATTCTCTAATTTAGTCTTGTCACAAGCAAAATTTTCTGAAGTCCATGGCATCATTTTTCAGCCCATTTTCCAGAAAGTAGACATACGGATGAAACAATAATTATTCCTTCTGGGCATTTAAAATAGGCTACTTGTTCTTTGTATATAAAAAAAGAGATCTGGCAGTATTGACTGTTTATATTTAGCTAAAACACCTATCTCAAAGCAGATGAGAAATTGCCAAACAATTTCCAACATACATGTATATTTTCTTCATGGGAAGCACCTTAGAAAAATCCCTCGATTGAAACCTTGCTAGCTACTACCATAAGCAACTGAGAACAGTAAAGTGAATGCAACTGATGGCACTTCAAGGCATAGCGGGTTGATATAGAACAGTATTATTAGCTATTAACCCTCAAAACGTTGTGATCAAGATTTATATTCTCTTTTCCGCCCATATACATTTTCTATAGAAGTAGTATGGAGAATTTGTACAAATTCCAAATAACACAATTTCCTTTGATTGTGTCCTTAATTCTCGTGAACACTGTTTCAAAAGCTGGAATATCAGGAATAAATTTGTTACTGATCACTCTAAGGGTTTTTAAAAGGGCTAATAAATTATTTTGTTCTATACCTTCATAACTGTTTTTTACCCCAAAAATAATTGTTTTATCTGTAATTAAAAGTAAACAACGTTTGTAATGGATGCTATAGTAAGTGAATGTTGCCAGATGTCATTCATCAAAGCATCCAGCCATTGAGCCAAGAGATGTATAGAGCCTGGCTGAGTGCATGCTATGATGGCTCCATCATTTCCATGACTATGGGAATCAACAATCATAGCAGAGCTATCAGAGTTCACTGCTAAAAGCATGGCACGCCGTTCTGTCATTATTACACTGCAAGATTTGGATCTGTTATTCTGAGCCTCTTGAATTAAGAAATTAGCCAACTGATGAACTGGATTCAGACCAAATATGTCAATTTGCTGACCCACACTCTGCACCCCACATTCGTTATCTGCCAGAGAAACTGCATCCTCCACCTCCAGATCAACTGCTTGATGATCGAATAGATCATCATGAATTTTGTTGCCTTTGATCATTGCTTCATATAATGATTGTTTCCATGGCTCAGGAAGAAGGATATCTCTTGGCCAAAGCAAACCTCCATTCATCCACATCTTCCCCATGATCAGTGCTATAAAGGCACAAGCATTGCTGCCTGTTCTTCCCTGAATACTTGATTGTGATTCAGCAAAAGTCCACTCCACAACACCTGCTACATATGAAGAGGGATTTCCTTTAATCATGCCTGCTGTTAGTATTCCAGGTGGTGGTGGACTTGAAGCGGGTGGTGGGGGATTNGTTGCCAGATGTCATTCATCAAAGCATCCAGCCATTGAGCCAAGAGATGTATAGAGCCTGGCTGAGTGCATGCTATGATGGCTCCATCATTTCCATGACTATGGGAATCAACAATCATAGCAGAGCTATCAGAGTTCACTGCTAAAAGCATGGCACGCCGTTCTGTCATTATTACACTGCAAGATTTGGATCTGTTATTCTGAGCCTCTTGAATTAAGAAATTAGCCAACTGATGAACTGGATTCAGACCAAATATGTCAATTTGCTGACCCACACTCTGCACCCCACATTCGTTATCTGCCAGAGAAACTGCATCCTCCACCTCCAGATCAACTGCTTGATGGTCGAATAGATCATCATGAATTTTGTTGCCTTTGATCATTGCTTCATATAATGATTGTTTCCATGGCTCAGGAAGAAGGGCATCTCTTGGCCAAAGCAAACCTCCATTCATCCACATCTTCCCCATGATCAGTGCTATGAAGGCACAAGCATTGCTGCCTGTTCTTCCCTGAATACTTGATTGTGATTCAGCAAAAGTCCACTCCACAACACCTGCTACATATGAAGAGGGATTTCCTTTAATCATGCCTGCTGTTAGTATTCCAGGTGGTGGTGGACTTGAAGCGGGTGGTGGGGGATTTGTTGCACAAGTAGCTAAGGCAGGTATGTTTGTTGCTGTTAGGATCACATTGGAACCTGGTGGACAATCTGATGCTTCCCTTTCCCTTTCTTCTTGTAAATTCTCTTGTCCAACTAGATCTGGACAGTTGCTAGCTCCATCTGTCTCTCCGCCTTTTAAGCAAACAAACAAGTACCAATATAAACAAATAAGAACATTAGTTAAGCAATACACAGGTACAAACTTTTCTCGTGTTCTCCTAACATTCTGCGTGGGTTATTGTACTAGTAAACTGATATAAATAAGGTTTGCTGCTTTAATTTAATAAATATCTGTTTTAAGGAGTTTACTGGTATAACAAATTTAATGATAGGCTTTTGACCAGTCAGGGCACACATACTATCCCTGTTATTACATAAAAACAAATAAACAAATAAAACTGTTCTTATAAAACAAAAATTCATTTTTATATGTGATAAATAGTACCTTGCTGTGACCGTAGATGCCTTGCTTCCTCCATCAAGTCCTCTGCTATTTGCTTTTGTTTGCGATGGTATGTACTCCACCAGCTTTTTATTTGTGATTCCTTTAAGGGAGGAACTCCAGCCGCCTTCATGGCTTCAATGACATCAGCAGGATTTGCTCTGATTTGCAATGTCCTCTGGTTCTCATAAAAAGCAGCCATAATGTCTTTCTGCTCTTTTGTGAAGGTGACTTTTTTAGCTCCACCCTTTTTTAGGGCAAATGCAGGTGATGGCCTGTCATCAGCATTGACTATTACACTGCTGTTCATTGGTGTCAGGTTAACATTTCCAGAGTCATCTGAATTGAGCTGTATAAACTTTACAGAGTATGCATCACCTCCATCAGCCTGTCCATCCACTCTTTCATCTGAAGATCGTAAGACATCATCTGTTGTTGAAGCACCTGTAGCCCCTGCTATTGGCACACTTCTCAGGGCAATTGTCTGGACCTGGGCTTTTGTTTTGCTGAGCACTTTCCCAACACCAGCGAGAGATTGTGCTATTATCCCTCCCTTGTAAGGTCCGTCAGAGGGAAACTTGAAATTGCCAAACTTGAATACTTGATTGTGATTCAGCAAAAGTCCACTCCACAACACCTGCTACATATGAAGAGGGATTTCCTTTAATCATGCCTGCTGTTAGTATTCCAGGTGGTGGTGGACTTGAAGCGGGTGGTGGGGGATTCGTTGCACAAGTAGCTAAGGCAGGCATGTTTGTTGCTGTTTGGATCACATTGGAACCTGGTGGACAATCTGATGCTTCCCTTTCCCTTTCTTCTCGTAAATTATCTTGTCCAACTAGGTCTGGACAGTTGCTAGTTCCATCTGTCTCTCCACCTTTTAAGCAAACAAACAAGTACCATTATAAACAAATAAGAACATTAGTTAAGCAATACACAGGTACAAACTTTTCTCGTGTTCTAACATTCTGTGTGGGTTATTGTACTAGTAAACTGATATAAATAAGGTTTGCTGCTTTAATTTAATAAATATCTGTTTCAAGGAGTTTACTGGTATAACAAATTTAATGATAGCCTTTTGACCAATCAGAGCACACATACTATCCCTGTTATTACATAAAAACAAATAAACAAATAAAACTGTTCTTATAAAACAAAAATTCATTTTCATATGTGATAAATAGTACCTTGCTGTGACTGTAGGTGTCTTGCTTCCTCCATCAAGTCCTCTGCTATTTGCTTTTGTTTGCGATGGTATGTACTCCACCAGCTTTTTATTTGTGATTCCTTTAAGGGAGGAACTCCAGCTGCCTTCATGGCTTCAATGACATCAGCAGGATTTGCTCTGATTTGAAATGTCCTCTGGTTCTCATAAAAAGCAGCCATAATGTCTTTCTGCTCTTTTGTGAAGGTGACTTTTTTAGCTCCACGCTTTTTTAGGGCAAATGCAGGTGATGGCCTGTCATCAGCATTGACTATTACACTGCTGTTCATTGGTGTCAGGTTAACATTTCCAGAGTCATCTGAATTGAACTGTATAAACTTTACAGAGTATGCATCACCTCCATCACCCTGTCCATCCACTCTTTCATCTGAAGATCGTAAGACATCATCTGTTGTTGAAGCACCTGTAGCCCCTGCTATTGGTACACTTCTCAGAGCAATTGTCTGGACCTGGGCTTTTGTTTTGCTGAGCACTTTCCCAACGCCAGCGAGAGATTGTGCTATTATCCCTCCCTTGTAAGGTCCGTCAGAGGGAAACTTGAAATTGCCAAACAATGATATGTCTTTGAGGGTACCCACTTTTCCAGGGGCCTTTGACCTGTCAATCAGTAGCTTTTTACACCTGACATTCTTCATAGTCTGAAATACAATGCAAGGAAATTTATGAACATCTGTTTTAAAGGAAAGGAGATTGATCAGATAAGTGCCATGACTAGTGCAAAACAAAAAATAACCACAGCACAACAACAACAACAAAATGGGGGGGGGGGGGGGGGGCGGGGGGGTGTAGAACAAAACACACAAACACAAAAAACAAAACAAAGGGGGGGGGGGGGGGAACGGCAGGAGAGTAATGACCAGGATCATAATGAATATTGCTACACAAAAGATGCAACATGTTCAAATACGACAGAGTCCATATCATCCCTTACCTCCAACAGGTCTGATAACTGTTCCCCTGATTCCAAGTCATTTCCAACACGAACCCAACGAACTAACTTGTGGGACACATGTGCAAAATGGGTGTCGAGAACTGTTTTCCCCTCGCCGGCTTCAAAGTTGTTGTATTCAACAAGCTTTAATGCAAATGCAGTGTTAACCTCAGCCAGATACGTGAGGACAGCAGAGTTGTGGTAGTGTGGTCCATTATCTTAAAAAAATGGGCGATGGCACATTTAGAAATAAGCCTTCAAAAAAGCTGAATTGATGAAAACGCTTTTGGAAGGTACTCAAAACTTGCTGGAATAGCAGAATAGTGCTAATCATATTTTCATTCATGATGGCAATGCTGTTTTATGACTATACATTTATCACATGACTTGCATGGAGCACACCAAAGGTCAGTTCTACCTAATCATAGTTCTGGTACATCAATTATTATTTGCTCTAAAATACTGAAGACTGGAAACAACTCAAAATATTGAAATTGTAACATATTAGAAAGTTTCACAGAAAGAAAGCAGGACAATATGTTTATTGGGTTAAAAGAAAACAATTTCAAACAAGATAACTAAGAAACAAAATATGTTTCCTTAAATGTACATGTACGCACCTGAAAATAAATAGACTTGAAAGTTCGGAAACACTTTTTCCATCCAAGCAAAGCCAACATCAAGGGCAGACTGGGTAAACCAGGCATCTTGCTTGGTGTCTTCACACCAAAGATCCAGCACATCAATCCTCCTTTCACCAACAGCAACTTGCGCTATCACATAGAAGCCATGAAGGGAAATGCCACGCTTCCCGTACCAGTCCCGTTGGATCTCCCTGGAACGCATGCCCAATTCAAGTTTCATCTTATAATCTATGATGACTACAGCTTCACCAGGTTGTAGATTCTTCAATACGAACCTGAAAAAAATAATAGAATTTCAACTTATCCCAACAATATTCACTTTGAAGATGGCAAAGTAGTGTGAGAATGCCAAAGTGCAAAGAGAACAGTCCAAGAAGTTTGATGATTTCTTGCAAAAAGGGAACCAGCATAGAGAAGTTTGCAAGCATTCACAGGACTAGGGAAAAATAATGATTATTGAAGAGTCACAGCCAAGTACACTTCTGATCCAACATGTTAGAAAATGCCCAAGACATAAATATTGTGTACCTCATGATGAAATGGTCAAAATAAATAAATATGTTGGCAATTAATAACTTAGAAGCAAATCCCCACTTCAAGAGATCAAAGTATGTCTTTTACCTGTAGTAATCACCTTGGTGCTTTGTCCTCAACAAGTGTCCAACATAGTCCCAGAAGGTACTTGTCATTTCTTTCAACTGCTCTGAGAAGGCTGCTTTTTTCTCTGCGGGGGCTGTGGCAATAGTACCAGACACCAGGGAATGAATGTCATAAAACAAGCCAAATTCAGCAGACCACTGATCATGACTTTGTGTGCAGGTGCTAAATGCATGGCTCATACACAGTTCCAAGCAGCTGCTGTGAGTCTGTGCCTTGATATAAAAGCACAAAGAAAAAACTGTCAAAAATAATTTATAACCAACCAACCAATTAATGCGATATTTGTCATTAAATCATTCTTTCCTGTCTTGGAAGTACATGAAAAACAACCCTGAGCTTGGTACTTGTAAGTACTGGTCAGATATGATCAGAGGTTATGTTTTAGAACATTTTCCTAGGTGTATACCAATAGAGCTGTCATAGTATTTACATTGATCTGCACAGAGTTAATTTTGATCTTGCTTTAGCTTTCTATTGACTACATTGTATGTTCAGAAAATGGACTTGGCAAACACTCTAAAAATGCAATAGAAGGAGCATTTGCAAATACAGCATAAATTCAGCAGGTATCTTTCTGACAGTAAACTTGTAGAATGTTATTCTTACTGTATCCAAAATGTAAAACAATCTACCAAAAGTGAGAAGAGATTGAAATGTAAAACATTTTTTATAATTTTGGTCTCAGTATAAAAATACTGGGTAATATTCATGTTCACAGCATACATCCAAAGTACTAAACAAGGTAGGTAAACAAGCAAGTACCTCATGTGAAAATTTTGTCTTTAGGTATCTTTGAAGATCTGTTATCTTCTTCACAGTGCCACCCAATTCCTGTTGTGGACAATCAGCACCCAATTTCTGGACAAATGCCTTTAAATTTGCAAAATTGGAATATCCATAGTCCTCGCACAAATTACACAGACCAGCCAGCATTGTATTACTGCGGAAGTTCTTTGGGATGTGACCATAGATGTAACTCCTTTTCACATTGCCTGGGAACTCTAACAAGTAATGCTGAATGACCTCTTTTATTGAACTTTGCCAGTAGCGTACTGGGCATTCCTTCCCATCAATTACAACACTCCTACATGATGAAGGTCGTGATATGTCATCACGCAAAAGGAACTCAGCCAATTGATCTAAAGTGTCCTGTGACACACACTGACGGGTAAACTTCAAGCACTGAGGTGGCACTCCTCCTCTGCCAAATAAAATACGGTGAATGCGTGCAGCAGTGACTGTACTCTTGGAGCACTTGAAAATCTCTGTGAGAAATGTTTGTGGATAGTCTGCTGCAACAATTGACAAGAGCCGCCTTCTTTCAGCTGAATACGTGGTGAGCCTGCCTAAGCTATTGGCTGCATCAACTCGTGTTTTAAAAGACTGAGGAGTGTTTCCTTGCAAGGCGATGTGGCTGTTGGACTTTGTTCCAGAAATTTTTATAGCCTGTTGAAGCTTTTTAGATTGCTTCCTGATAACACTGTTTGTTTCTTTTCTTTTGCACTCTTGATACTCCTGGATGATTGAAGAGAGGAATGCACTTGTGATCTTGTGATCTTCCTTCTTTCTAGAATCTCCAAAGGTGCTTCTCCATTTCTTTGACTGTAGCAGGTTGTCCATCAGGTCATAGAGTGCCTGGTTGTCACCATGTACATACGTGCCCAACAAACTATGAATACGTTCAATAATTTCTGCTCTTATGTCGGCTCTCTTAAAATTAGTTATCTGCTAGCAGATAGCTGACTAATTTCAATAACAATTATGTCAATTCAGGTTCCTTGCGACAGTGTGTTTCTCGTTATTTTCTTCAAAGCAATGTATAATAAAACTATTATTACATTCGGTTTTTGTGATATCCTATAATTAATCAAGAAATATCCTTGATTACTCCGGATATCACAAAAACCTCATCCACATTTTTTTTTTTAGTCAATCTGCGCGCCCGTCCGATCAGATACAAACCAAATTGCACTTCATTCAGTTCAATTCAATAACCATTAACTTGCAAAACGATTGATATCGATTACATCGGGAGTGGTAGTCCTTCTTTCCTTAGAGCCAAGGGCGAGCGAGAAAGTAAAATAATGCCGGCAAATTACAAATGATTAAAAGAAGGGGAGATTTGGGCGTAGAGAGGAAAAAGAACTGCTCTTCTTCTCACTCGAGCTGTCCATAAAAGCGATTTTAAAAAACAGAAATAAGAGACTGAACGCAGTCTGGATATCGATTTTCATTGATTGAGTACGCCAAGCATTTGGGAGCAAATGGAACTAGTTAGCACAAGGTTGTTAAAGTCAGTTTGTCCTTACCTGCTTCTTTGAGTTTCTGCGGTAAGGTGGTCACGTTAAGTGGAAGTCCATATGGCTCCGTAGAGCGTATAACTCCACTCTGTAAACCTACAATCAATCAATATATTCGCTTTAAAACAGTGTTATAAAGTTAATGACCAAGCGTTTGGTCAAGAAGGCTGGGTATTGACCAAGTTCTTCTCTGGACTGAACTGAACTTTTTTTACCCTGCGAGCAGAGGTTTCTCTCTTGCATGGCTTTTAGCGTAACCACTTGTAAATACCCCTACCCGGAAAAGAAATTATCCGTAAACCAGAGGAATGAGTTCAAGGATGGCATTGAAACTGTTGGAAAAAATTGCGAGTACCAAGCGATGACACTAAGCTATGCTAAGAAAGCCGTGCAAGTAATGGCAGTAATGCTAAATTTGCGCGACGCATTTTTACCTGTATGTATGGGGTACATTCCGGAAAGGAGAGCACCTCTGGTTGGAGAGCAAACTGGTTGTACATAGTAATTATCCAGTATTACGCCTTCAGAAGCAAGTTCATCCATGTTTGGAGTGTTGATTGTTGAACCATGAAACCCAACATCACTCCATCCTAAATCGTCTAAGACTATCAGCAAAATATGTGGCGAATCACCATGAACTTTGAGCACAAACAACGAAAACGACGAAAACAGGAGAGCAAGGATCAAAAAATGATTGGACCGCATTTTTTAACCTTCCAGCGCTCCTTGCTTTCGAAGCGAAGTGTCAGCGAATGAGTATGGTGCGCTGTTTGTGGGGTTTAGAGAAAGACTATGGGTTGAAATTTAAGTCTGTCATTTGTGTATATTACTCTGTAGGTTGTAAACATTTACTCTGTCGATTGGTATATTACTCTGTCAGCTGCACGCGCTTCTCTGTCAGTTGCAAACATTCACTCTGTCGCCAGGCTCAACGTCATCTGTCGTTTGTAAACATTTACCTTGTCGTTTGTACAAACTACTCTGTCAGTTATGTGCATTATTTACTCGCTCAGTTGTAAACATTTACTACTCTCTGTAAACATTTCACTCTGTCGGTCGTGCACACTACTCTGACGGTTGTAAAGTTGTACAAACTACTCTGTCAGTTGTGTACATTACTTACTCGGTCAGTTGTAAACATTTACTCTGTCGGTTGTGTAAACTCTGTCATTTGTGCACATTACGTACTCGGTCGGTTGTCATTTACTCTCATGTTAAAAATGGGTTTAGACAGACCAGCACGACTCCTAGCTACTCCTGCTGTACGCCCATTGTGTCTTTCAAAGCCTTTTTAAAGCTTCCTACCTTTTGTTCCGGGCAGCCTGAAGAGATAAGGCGTGTTTAGAATTTTCTAACGTTCTCCTCAAACAAAGTTTTGAAGAGTTTGTCCTAAGAAGCCTGAGAGCTTCTCCATTGACAAACTAACGCCCGCTGGGTGACAGCTGTTGAAGTGTGTGCACTGAAATGTTTCAGTATAAGGCTTAAAATGTGTACGCACATCGAGGATTCTTTCTTTCTCGAATCGTTCTTCCTTCGTAGAGGTGGTGTAAGGGGTTTTTGCGTGATACGGGATTAAGTGCTTTTAATTTCGTGAAAGGCGAAAATACGAAATTAAAATCCGTGAACTGTGAGTGGTTTGCTTGTCGTGATACGTGAACTTTACAATTTTTTATGCTATATTCGTGATTTTTAACTAATATTAACTGGCGTAAATAATCAGGTGTCATATCGTTCAAAACGTTTAATTTTAAGGAGTAATGTTTTGTCTTCAATACGAGAGCAAACAGGTATGGCACGACTTTGGGGCGCAATAAATTAAGCGAGCACTAGCATTCAGAACAAGCTGCAATTTAGATAGCTGATATTTTGGCGAACCACACAATAGGCTATTACAGTAGTCTACTCTACTAGAAACAAAGGCGTGAATCAGAGACTTAGCGCTGCTCCTGGATAAGTAGAGTTGGATAAGTTGGAGGTAAAGAGCGAATTCGAATGCCCATTGACAGTAAGCATTCACATCCCTTGAAGCTCTTGGGCGCCACATCATTGAGTACGCTGGTTTGAAAGCTGAGTCCGAAAAGCGTAGTCTAGGATCGTCGATTGAATAAAACTCTGTCGGTTAGAAAAGTCCGCAAAAGGAAGCAAAGCCTATGCAATAAACAACGACGACAATCAGGATGAAATGACTTTTCTATGAGAAGTTACTACAATCGAACCTCCAGTAAGCGACCACCCAAAATGAAAAGACTGAGTGGTCGCTTAGTGGACCTTGTCGTTTACAAGAATTGAACCGGCGGGGGGGGGGGGGGGGGGGCCTTCCCCGGAAAAGGGCCGGGGCCCCCTCTTTTTTTTGTTACGTTGTTAAAATGTGAGAAGTTGTGTTTCCCTTTTTTTTTAAAAAATTTTGTTTTTTTCAACAACAAATATTTTGTAAAAAACACAAAATA